GAGACACAGTAAATCATTAAATGGCGCAAGATCAATGATCCAACGCCTACGACAAAAATGGCACGAGGCATCTGTAAAAGTGTCTCCTCTATCTATCTCAATCTACTACCGAAATTCAAATATCATTCGTGGTCTAATGGATGGTCGCGGCAAGCGGGATAGTCAATGTCAACCTTGAGATCTCTCGCATAGCGCGAATTTTCGACCTTCGGGCGGATGCCCGACTAAGATATTGAAAGTCAGAGAAATACGGCGCCGACGAGACAAAATATCGAGGTCACTCGCTCATCTTATAAGCAGATCGCACTCTACACTCGTTAAGCAGCTGCCAGAGCAAGAGAAGAAAACCAGTACCATCGGACCTTTTAGCATCTTGATAATCATTTTATAATATCTTTTTATCAGACGCATGTTTTATATCAAATCCAGTGGCATTCTGATTTGGCCGTATTATAAACTCTTTTGGAAATTTATTATCAAAGAGATTTCAGTAAATAAATTATGAAAAGCTTATTAAAAATAATGCAAATCCTCGTTTGTTAATGATGGAGAAGAACAATAATAGAAATACAGCGAAGTTGTAGTTAAGAAAATTTATGTTATGATTTAAGAGAATTTGTAAAAACCAATATTTTCCTTTCATTTTTGGAAAAGCACATTCAACCAACGAAAATTCCATATTTTTAATTTGCTGCAAAATATTTCTAATCAAATCTAATATTGAACAGAATTACAAATTCCAAATGTACTATCTACCATTAAATGTCTATATAATTTAAGAGAAATAAAATATAACAGAATTTCAATGATTCGCCTAAAATTTCTTATTGAAATTTGTCATAGCCGAGCAATAATATTTAAACGGGTACTATATATTAAACATATAAGTTTACTCTTGTAATATATTAATTATTTGTTCATATAATAAAAATATAAACCAGTTAATTACTTGATGTAATATATATATATATATCGTAAAAAATCTAAAACCATTTAATCACATAAAAAAAATATAAGAATAGACTACATTTCGCCCCCCTTCGCGATTTAGTTAGTTCTAGAAGTAACCCATTAAAAATACTTAAAATATATGAATTATTCATAAAGAAAAAATATATTTATATATTTGTTATGCACAAGTACGCTTCAGATATAAATTTATTTCAGAAAAGACTGTACAAGTAGGCAAAATAAATGGCAAGTTCACTCGCACATAACAATACACGTATCAAACCAATTTTCATTCTATTCCATAAAACCATACGCGTTTTTCTGAAAAAGATGACTCGTTAATTTGTCTGATAAATGTGTGCGTATGCGACAGCATGATAATCAAAACAAGAGAATAAAAAATATGAAAGAGAGATCAACACGTATAAAACCCGTGATCAAGTTTACTGATACGATCTATATATTTTGTGTCGAGATAATAATTTATGCTACATTAAGTATAAGTTCATGTATTCAGATATTTGTTAAAAATAATATTTTGCCCAAATTTATTAGTAGCTTAAACAATCGTAAAATTAATAACAACTTTCGAATTTTCATAAATATCAATTGTTGGCCCACAAAAATTGTAATTACGCTTAATTAGTGAGTAATAATGAAGCAATATCATATAATAACATCAATGTTAATATTTTCAAATTAGATTAAAACCATAAGACTGCATCAACTTGATTTTGGCTTTCATTTATTTTATATCTCATTGAATAATAAGCCACATGTTTAACACATCATAAGTTTTGCTCTAAACAAATAAATCCATTAGGTGAAACTCTTCATCCACATTATGCATTAAATTATATATATATATATATATATATATATATATATACATATATATATATATATATATATATATATAATTTAATGCATAATATTAATACTCAAATTAATGTTTTCTCTGATTACCAAAGAAATGAAGACAACCGATAAGCATCTTCAGCCCTGTTGTATTATAATTGAAAGTGCGAGCGAGTCAAAAACCTCCATTCGTAGTTAATTTAGATAAAAAAATTGAATATTATTTTTTGAGATGTTCGAAGAACCAAATATCAAATAGGAACTTGGACGGCTTTTATCCAAAATAAATGCTTATCAGCAAATTAAGAGAGAGAGCAAGTGCTTGGCTGAATAAAAACTCTATAATATCTTAATCCTACAAAATTTGTACTTTGAGCGATTTTTTAATGTATCGTTGTCAGGTCCAGTCCACGTAATTTATTATGACAGTAGAAATTATATTATCAACTGCTGCCCTCCCATTTCCCTTTGAAAATTTTTCGCGCGACAATTGAAGAACGTTGGGCAACAACATTTAATTACAAGAATAGAATTGACTTGAGTTTTAAAGTAACTGTATCTTTGAAATATTTTAACATATGATTATTTATTGAGAAATATATAATTACCATACCCTGTATAAATGGCATTGGTACTCAAATATATTTCCTGGAAACTTAAGAGGTAAATCAGCATCTAGTTTAACCGACGTGTCGTTTTTATTTTACATCTTTTTGTAAAATATTTTGTAAGCTATGACTTTTCATCAGACAGTACGAAGTCTTCAAGAGATCAAGGGTATGAGGGGGGTAGGGGGTAGGGAAGACTTATAACTTCGAGTGGATATTCACATTTTTACTTTTGTTCATACAGAATCTATCATCCTCTCCCCCGTTTAACGCTTCTCATGTCCGCTCAAGCATATGATATAAAAACCTTTTGTAAACTACAGATCCCCACCTTAAACGTACTCCCTACTTTTAATTAACACTTGCACACACTTGTTTTATCTTAGCCGAAGTCTACACAAGATCGTCGTCGTCCTTTAACTCAAAATGTATTTTTTTTCTTTTTATTGCAAAGGACAGTTGAATGTAAGCAAAAGCGTTAATCTAGCTAATCGGTAGTGAGAAATCACGTAGAGCATCGTAGGACATTCATGAATAGCTTGTTTATTAACATCCAAATGACACTCATTGGCCTTCTTTAGGAAACTAAGAATGCGCTGTTATTTCGAAAGAGCACTAGACTCTAAAATGTAATTTAAATGTACAACGTTGCCACAAGAGTATTTCATAAAAATTAAGTCACGTTTTATATTATAATCATTTGTTAAAGTGTTTCTGTTTTGATCGTCTCAAAATACATTTCTCAATCACTAATCACTAATATAAAATTCATAGTGTTCATGTTTTCGAAGTGATGTGCATGTTATTTATTTTTAATGCACATTAGAATGCATAATTTGCTATTTAGTTATAGTTGTATAGATTTATCAGAAGCACAAAAGAAATTAATTAGGAATCATTATAATATGAATGAGCTAATACATCAGGACATTTAAAGATATTAAAAATAAACTTCTTTTAATTCTACTTTTATATATATATATATATATATATATATATATATATACAAGTTTCTTGCAACATGTTTACATACGCAAATGTTAATAAAATACAATTTTCTGATACAATAAAGTTAAATGGGAACCAAATAAGAAAAAAACTATTTTAATCATTTGTTTTTCACTATTACATGTATTATTGTCTTTATATGATTGATGTATATGTATAGAATTTAAAGGTCAAGCGCAATAAAAATGCAGACAAGTGAAAAATATTTAAAAGTAATTTCTCTTTACAAAAAAACACTGTAAATTTAGTACTATGTAGTTGGTTTCGAAAGTTGATGAGTCATTGAATATTAATTGTGTAAATTAAGTAATAAAAAAACTTTCATTCGTATATTCATAATCAGCTGAGTAAACTTTTAAAAATTATTTGTTGTGCAATGCATTAAACATTGAGAAAAATACTCTATATATGTGTATGTATACATACATGCATATATATATATATATAGATGGATAGATAGAGCTTTCAAAAAGCGGTGAACTCAATGACATGTTAAAATCTTACATGGTATTGCCATAATGTTATGAAATTTTCCCCCAATGAGTTATTCCAAAGCATTACACAAAAATTTAATTAATAAAAGCACAATCGTATCGGAATAATGCATACTCAAATCAGTATGATAGTTACGTCAGTAAAAAAAAAAAGAAATAATAAACGACAAGACGGAACTATAAAGCAACAGTCGAATTTAGTGTTTTATCGCGCTCAGGCTCCTCCTCGTGGCAGCAAGCACCTGCATCCGCTGAGCGCAGGCGCGTGTTGGGCCCGGAAGAGTCGACGGGGCCCGTGTGCACGAGTCTTTAACGTCGTCGTATAGGTTCTCGAGATTCGTCTAAATCGACAATTAAATGTACGAGTTCGAGGCATGTGCGATGCATGCTTCACGATACCCCCTGTCACCTTCCGCCACAACCGCGCCATCATTCTCTCACTCTCTCTCTCTCTCTCTCTCCCTTTTTTACTGTGTCGCGGCAACGACGCCGATAATCGCGCGAGACACGTTCACGAAGGGAGAAAGCGGGGCGCGCGAACTAAAAGGATAGAAGAGACGCGTTGCACGCACACACGCGCGCAATATACGTACTCGGATCAAGAGAGTCGAAAGATAGAGACAGAAAGTGCATGACGAGCGCACTTGACCCGAAATTGTTCTTTCCGTCTTTCTCAATCTTTCTCAGGCGCATGGCTTTCCGCCTTCTCGCCAACATCCGAGGATGAGAAGAGAGACGATGCGTCATTTTTGCCTTCTCTCCTCGAGGAACAGGATGGCCCCACACCGGGACCCACGTCATTTCCGCCCGGGATATGTCGGGGGCTCGATTATTAAAAATAGAGGCGGTACGATTGTTGCGCAGCCGAGATCTCCTGTACGAAAAACGAGATCCAAAGCGGGGTAGGATGTCGAGGGAGTAGTAAAATTTGCTCCTGTGTACAAAGGAGAGGCGGCGACCCGACCCGAACAATGCCTAACGCTTCTCGCGTCGGGCATGACGAAAGAGCCTACGAGCGAGGAGGAATGGCGATGACCAGCAGAGGAAGTGGGGAACACAATGAGGGGGCGCTTGGACTTACCGAAGGTTGTTGCTGCTGTGGTGTAGCAGAGCGCAATATGTCAGCTGACTTGACGTGTAGCCGATCGCGATTCCGCGACAGTATCCCACATAATTATTTGGCGCAGATGACGCCTCAATAATCGCGCCGCCGATTCTTCTTCTTTAAATGTTGAGGCTCTGACACCGTCGTCACGTCACTAAATTCGTGGCACTCTCTGTCCTCGTAATCGCGGTGGTGGTCGCTCGCTTCCTCGTGTACAAAGCAGATCAGTTCGACCGCTAGCTCTTCCGTGTGAACTGCTTACTCTTTCTAATTAGTGTTTGGTGTTGACTGGTCAGCCGTTTCCGTACCCGTCACTGGCAGTATCGTCGACGAAGACCCCTCCAAGGTTTATACGTCCTCGCGCTCTCGATGCTCACGGCCGCGCCTCTTTCGCTGCTTTCGTCCCGGGCCCTTGTATATACAGGCAGCAGCTCCTCGGGCTCCGTTCTCGTCCTCTTCGGAAAACACACAATTATACACTCACAAAGCACGAAGGTGACACAAGCAGGAAAGTAGACACTCGCGACGTAAGATTGAGTGAGACGACGATGAGCGTTATGGTGCGCTCGCGAGAGGGAAGAAGGCGCGCGACTATAGGCAGACGACGACGACGACGACGACGACGGGCTTCTCGAGACGAAGAGAGATCATTTCAACTCTCTTTGCAAGATAGCGCGAGCAACAAAAGAGAGAAAAACAACAAAATAATGTGTTAACGCTCGGCTGATATCTCGTTCTTTATCTCTCTCCCTCCCTCTACCTCTCACTCACTCACTTGCTCGCTCGTTCGCTCGCTCAGTCACTCGCACGCTCCCCTTCTCGCTCTATCTCTTTTATCGTGCGCGCGCGCGCGCGCCTTCCTTTTATCTTTATCTGGCTGTCGTTGCTCGTCTCTGACCGTTCTTGTCGCCTGCACGCTTGTAGCTCGACAGAGTTGCTGGTATTAAGCCCACAGGAATCCGATAAGACGATGGTAGAACAACGTCCTAGCAGCAGCAATAGTAGCAACAGCAGTAACAACGGCAGTGAACGGACCACCACCTTCGTGTACCTCTCCGATGCGTACTCCGTATGTACGCGTTCTTGCGTGCGTATGCGCACGCTAGAGAGCAGCTATCCACCCTCCTTCGTGTGCTCGGTTGCACTCGAATGATAGGTTATGGGTGGGACCCAAGTCGTCCGCAACTACGTCAACGACGCTGAAGGCGACGACGACGACGACGACGACGACGACAACGATAACGATAACGATAGTGATTACGTGTGCGCACGCTCCAACAATGAAAAAAAGAGAAACAACGAAAGAAAGAATGAAAGGATGAAAAGGATGAAAGAATGAAAAAACGAAAGAACAAAAGAACGAAGGGGAACCAAAGAATAAGAGAGAGAGAGAGAGAGAGAGAGAGAGAGAGAGAGGGGGGGAGAGGGAGACACGATAAATCAGCCGAGGTCACTACGAGGATGATTGTGCGCGAGAATAGAGGAGCCCACCTTACGTGAACCAACAACCGAAGTCTCGACCTCGATGATGACTACTACTGATGCAAGCGTTAATTTACCACGGAAGAGAACTAGAATTCAAAAGCGCTGTCTCGCATTCTCCCACCACGATATACCTCTTTTCAATATCTATCTATCTCTCTATTCTTCTCTCTCTCGCTCTCACTCCATCTCCTCTTTTACACTTCCCCCACCAAAAGCTTTTATATTTGTTCTATATGAAGCTTCGGTTAAACTTTATCTTTTTATAATGAGGCGGCTTTTAAATGATCGAGATAAACTGAAAACAATCGATCAAACCTCACAAAGGTCAATATAAATCCATGAATATCCAATATTACCGTGCTCGTTTCTACCTACTTATCGAAAATTTAGCAAATATTTCGGCTGATAGGTGGCGCTCCTGTTCTCTACCAATCCACTGGCCCAATTCTATTGCACCTCTACAGAATACTGAATACTACCAGGTGTATCTACTTTAATATTCGTACATTTTGTATTCGTATCCGTGCTGTCTTTTCCTTTCACGAACAACATTTTTAAAAGTCGATAACTCCCTGTTGAGTAATACTCTACTTTTCTTTTATTATTATAGGTATAGACTCGTTTTTATATTCGTTTCGTTAAATATGAGGTGATGCAAGAAATTTTCAAACATTTAAATATAAATATTCGAGGTTATAAATGACAGCAAGTTAATTCATCCTATTTTTATATAGCATAAAGAAAAACCACCTTATTTCAGTACTTATATATTAGTGTAAATTGATTATACGATTAACAAGATTGTTTAACTGAAATTTTAGTAACAATCATCTAGAAATATTTTTATTATAATTATGGCGTCGGCAAGATCAAGACGAATCAATGCCGGCAATAAAATGGCGAAACTGCTCAATGAGGAGGAAGAGGACGATTTTTATAAGACTACTTATGGGGGCTTCGACGAAACCGAGCAAGATAATGATTACAAGTTAGTTTAATTTTTTCATTCATATAAATGTCTTATGGATTATAATGTTGGTAATGATCAAATATTGTGATTAGGGAAGAGGCTGAAGCTGAAGATGAAGTTGATTCAGATTTTAGCATAGATGAAAATGATGAGCCCGTATCTGATCAGGAAATTGAGGAGAAGAAGAAAAAAAAAGGTGTCTTTACAAAAGCTTATAAAGAACCGGCTAAGCCTTCTTTATCTAAACCTAAAGAGATACCGAAGAAGAAAAAAGCTCGCAGTCAAAAAGTGGCTAGGATATTTATGAATAATATTGGTAAGTTGTATATGTTAGTATTTTTAATAATCAATTACCGGCTTATACAATAATAATTTTATTTTATATAGAAAGAAAATCAATTAGACGATCTACTGCTGCAAAATCTGCTGCAACTTTAAAAAGATTAAAGGAAAGAAATGAAGATCAACGGAAAAAAGTTAAAACAGTAAGACATGATGATTACAAACCAACTCAAGATGAATTATTAGAAGAGGCACTGTTGACTGAAGAAATAAATTTAAAGTCATTAGGTAATTGAGTATTATTCAAATTAAAATTTAATGTGTACTCTATTATAATCTTTAAAAATTAGAAAAATATCAGAGACTAGAGAATGAGAAAAAAAATGCACGAACTGTTCGCAAAACTAACATAGGACCTATGATAAGATATCAATCTTTATCAATGCCTGTGATGGTATTATCAAACTCTAATAAAGAAAAAGAAATTAAAATAAATTGCAATAAAAATGATAATGAAATGGAAGAAACTTCCGCAAAATGTATTGATGTGAATAAAAGGTACTTCATTGTTATTTTTTTTTTCTTCAATTTCAATATGAATTCATTTCTTTTATTTATTCTAAACAGTAATAAAAATACTGGGGATAAAACAAAGGATTCGAACATTGTATTGAAAGAAAGAAGTTTTGATTGCATTGAAACTAATGGATATTATGAAAGGACTTTTGTTACTTTTGAGAATGTTCAACAATTTAATGATATTTTCAAAAAAAAGCAAAATTTAAGGCCAACTCTAAAGTCTCTGTGTGCAATTACAAGGTAATTAAATACTACAAAAGTGTTTATATTTATTTGCATAAATAAAAATTTGATTTTATAGATTACCAGCAAAATATTGCGATCCTATGACCCAACTTCCATATAGAAATGTTCAAACCTTTCGACTGTTAAGGGATGCTTATTATCAACAAGTAGAAACACAATCGGATCTCAATAATCCATTAATTAGCACAGAATTAGCACGATGGTTGGAGTGGAGACAAAAAAATAATCAAAATTTTCAAAGGAGTACTGTACGCTTAGAACCTGCTTCGGCTTCTGCTCCCTAATGTATGCTCCCTTTAAGAAATAATTAATTTTGTATTATATTTTCGTGTAACTATCACTAATTTTAATAAGAATATATTATTGTAAATAAATATAACATGCATTACAAGGTTTCCTCCATCGCTGGAAAAATAATTTATGTCTAATATAAAGGGCCATAAAGAATTCTATATTAATATTTCAGGAATAAGTAAATACTTCTATATCTATAATTTTAAAAATCCAGATTTCTACAAACTAATTATTGTTAATCTTTTATTTTAATTGGAGTATTAGATCAACGAAATAAAATTACTCATGAACAGATTTATTAAAAAAAAAAAAAATGGATTAAATAATATAGTGATTAACAATAAAAGATTAGAGAATTACGCATATCGTAGTATTTTCATAACGATGAGTTTAATTCATCCCAGTGGCATTTTTCTTGTTTAAAGCATTATGATAAATTCTTATTTAAAAAATTTTTTTTTCATTAATCTCTTATATAGGTGCACAAAAGCATATGGATATCTGAATTTATATAATGCATTCTTTCTCGCTTTTGTATAATTCTTTCTTTGTTTACTCCTTTAATTTTAGTATCATTCTTTTTTCACCTACAATTTTACTCGAATAAAATATGAGATTGCACGTCAAAGAAGAATGACTATAACAAAGCTTAGTCGCTTTGTGCGACATCTATACGTCATGGCTTCGCGAGTAAAAAGGACATTTTTTGTTAGCAAGTACTAAAAATAATATCGTCCCCATATCATCGTTGATATCTTTGTCTTTAATCTACGTCCCTTTATTAATAATAAGAAAGACACTCTGGGATCCCTTTGTTCTTCCGGCTTGTTTTTCATAGTCATAATTACTGCATTATTCAAAAAATTGATAAAAGCGCTATTAAAAACAATGTAGTTTCAATGTACTTAAAGAGTTGAGAAGGCTATTACTGTATTAAAATATCATGATTAATACGTTTTCCTTTATTAAATCTTAAAAGTTAATTTTGCCTCGCAATCTGTTCTGAACCGAATGAATCATATAAAATAAAAAATTTTCCGAAGCTAATTCTTTGTATATCAAATAAAAGAAAGTAATTAAAATTTTTACCTAAAAACTAATATATTTATAAAATCAAATAAAATGTTGAATAATGCACTCGCGACGCTTTATTAATTGCGTTTTATTAGGAAGTATAACGTAACCATATCCTTCAGTCATCATGTGTCACAAAGAAAAGTAATTACTTTCAAAATTTACAGAACGCGTGTTTTGCCGTTTTATATATAATCGTATAACAACTACGTGGAGCGAGACGATAAGCAATTATGGTGGAGATCTGCAGATGACATATATCTGATTACTATTAGTTGTTTCCACATTTCACTAGTTCTTTTCTCTCACTCCATCTCTCTCTCTCTCTCGCACTCTTTCTCATTCTTTCGTATACGTTCTTTTGCTCTCAGTTGAGGACTTAAATATAATCCCTCAAGTTTTATCAATCTATTAAATATTTTCTTTTCATCATTATATTTATACATGCATACAGACGTACATACACACATACACACACACGTATATATATATATATATATATATATATGTATATATATATAATCAGATTACAATTGTTGTATATTCACGATCATATTATGTGTTGAGAATAATTGTTATATGTATTCCAAAGAAACGGTAATACAACATTTAATTATTAATAACATAAAATATGTATATCTGTTTTTATATTCTGATTTTTTTCTTACTATTATCGTGTAGACGCGTGTTTCAAGTGTTATTGCATGTATCGGCTTCACATATGCATCAAAGACGAATGCTTTTGTGTACACTTTATTATGAATGCGTACATGAGCAAAAGAAAAAAATACGAAGAAAGAGTTAGAGAGAGAAGAAATCATAAATTGAGTAAACGAGACAAATGTCACTTTAACGAAGAAGGTTATATAGGACAAAGTGCATGGGCCTTGTTTTGTTTAACGTGTTCGTTTATGCATTCAGATTCGCTTGTATATTTATGTATGTCCATTTGTAATCTATATGTAATTATGTATATAATCTGCATTGGTGTATTCATCTCCATACTTAATTCACTCTTACACCGACGTCCAATTTGAGAGTGCCGCACTTAATTGATATTATTTTATGCGAATCAAAAAAGTTGCGTTTCGTACGCATATTTATTTTTCCCTATGAATAATCTGCAGTATCTTCTCGCTTTGGTGAGGTTAACAAACCCTTCTAGCATACGAGATTTTAGACTCGTATACATAGTCTTAGCTCTCGTGCATTTATGCACCCGCTACATCTACCAATGGCCGTTACTTTGCTCATTACTGTGTCTCTGTCTCTCTCGCTGCATCTGAAAGACCATAAGAAAGACGAAATATTTTTGAAAGATTTCTCCTTGCAACAAAAATAAGAATTTTTCACACTTTATAAAATTAATATAAAGGAAAATCATTACGGTAAATATGTATATAAAGAAAAGTTAATTTATTCAATCATAAAACTTACTTGTAAAGCAAATCATTCATTAAACAAACACCACGTCACTGGCAACATTGTTTACGCATTCCCTCAGAACTCATCGTAGGCTTAACATCAATAGGTTCTACGTTTTGTGGTCGAATAGTATCACCCTCTGGAGGATCTCGTATTTGTTTCTGCGAGACGATTCTATAGATCTCTGTAATATTTAGTTAAAATTAATAAATGCTTCGACGTCGGATTAATAAAGGATTATTATCTGATACCTGTTAAAATATTTTGAAATGCTGTCTCAACGTTGGTTGAATCTAGAGCCGATGTTTCTATAAAAGACAAACCATTTTTTTCAGCAAATGTTTTAGCTTCATCTGTCGGCACAGCTCGTAAATGCCTCAAATCCGACTTATTTCCAACTAGCATTATAACTATATTCTGATCGGCGTGATCACGTAATTCTCTTAACCATCTTTCAACATTTTCGTATGTTAAGTGTTTTGCAATATCATAAACTAATAATGCTCCAACAGCACCACGATAGTAACTGCAATAGAAAAAAATTCAATATAAGAAAACTTCTAACCATTAATTATACTCTAATATAATAAAGTAAAAAATTAATCTTACGCAGAAGTAATAGCACGATAGCGTTCTTGACCAGCGGTATCCCATATTTGAGCTTTGATTGTTTTGCCATCTACTTGTATACTTCTTGTTGCAAATTCAACACCAATAGTAGACTTAGACTCTAGGTTGAATTCATTTCTTGTGAAACGTGATAAGAGATTACTTTTTCCTACTCCAGAATCACCAATAAGAACCACTAAAATTTAAAGTATACATTTAAAACACAATATAAGTTAGGTTAGTTTAAAATATTTGGGTGATATACTACATCATATGATATTACGAACTTAAATGTATTGAAATCCATTATTTAAATTAGCCAATTACCAACCATCAGTGATATTCTTAAACACTGACACTGAACATCAATCAAACATGTAACAATGATCATAAAATGACAATGAATTTCGTGATCAATTAAAGATCGTTTTAGTTATATTGAAAATGACAATATTGTGAGATCTATAAAAGAATTGGAATTTATATGAATAGAAATATATAGTAATTGATAGTATATTTGATATCAAGCATTAAAAAAGTTGAAATAAAAAATCCAATAAATAATAAAGTAATCCTTATTTGTTCATATTTATTATTTAACATGTTTTCCAAAAGGAAAAAATGTACAAGCTTAAGTGTAAGACTCTGTATTACTACCAAGGAAAATGGGTGGACATAAGTACCAAATCAATAGGAGTTATTTATGTGATTTGAATATTAGATGGACATGCAGTAAAAAAAAAAGTAATAAATTTTTGGTCTCTCGGTATACGAGGTAAATAATTCTATCAGCGTCAATGGTCAAAGACGTGTTTTAATTCTTACCAAAAGATTTTTTAGTTTTGCGATAGAAAGATGAAAGACGAGAGCTTTCGGAAATAAGATATTTATGTACAATTGTGGCTTCAAATTTGAAGGAAAGCAATTCGGGGCATAAAATCGGAATATTAATTAAGCATCGTCGTCATAAGAGAACCAGAAACCGGACGTTGACAAGGCTTCGCGTGCGTGACGTGCCTTTTTCTTACTTACTTTCTCTCTCTCTCTCTCTCTCTCTCTATTGCTCTATCAATTGCATATATGCACACAACTAAATAAACCACACGCCCGTACACACAATAAAAAATACAAAAATATGTCTTTCTCGCTTCCTCTTCAATGACAAACGATTAATCATGTTCTAGATAACATTAGATTTTTGTCTGACAGATATAAGTTTTTACAAAAATCTCAAACACTTCATTTAATTAATCACTACTGCTTCTTCGACATGTTTGCAAAAAATATTTCGATCGATCAGCCGAGAACTCGCATGCTCACAATTAACGACAGAAGATGAAAATTAAGCTTTTGCATTCAACAATTAAAATACATTACAGTAATACACAATTCCTAACTTGTAAATACAAAGAAAAATAAGATAATTATTACCTTTGAACAAATAGTCATATTCGTCGTCTCGAGTGCCCATTTCAACGTCAAAGACGGTAGAACTCTCTTACACTCTTTTTCCCCTAGGCGGACGGACGGTGCACCAATCTTACTTGAATATCTCTCTCCTAAAGAGAGAAGAGTAAAAAAATGGTTTGATGAGGATAGGGATGCGAATGGAGCAAGAATGAGAAAAAGAAAGATTAGTAATAGAATAGAGGAGTAGAAAGGAGAGGAAAAGCGAGAGAGAGAGAGAGAGAGAGCGTGCGTGCGTGTGTGTGTGTGAGAGAGAGAGAAATCAAGTGAGACAGGCTCTCTCGTATATTTATGTATAAAAAAGCGGCAGGAAAACACAGGCGCGCACAGATGCACACAAGTCCACTGTTACGGATGACTAGAGGCTCCGAGGTGATTACTCGACTCTGAGATCTCGTTTGACAATGGCTTTTTTCTCTTTGTTACGTGCTTATCTTTACTTTAAACGAGAGTTTGCACGAAATCAAATTCTCACGATCGTACTCGTCGTGGTACAAATTATATTTTCCTGTCTTTTAATTTAACTGTACAATATGGCCTCCTTTCTATACGCCCCTCCAAACGAATGGCCCAGTATTCACGCATGCGCCCACCTACCGCCACACACTTAGACCACTAATGCGCATGCGCGAATGAGGATAACAAATTTTCAAGGCGGCCATAAGAATCCGATTTTTACTTATGCCATTTTAACTGTACAATGTATATGCAAGGCATTATGAATGGCGCGAAAATTCGCTACACTTGACCATGCTCCTACGCACGCTTAAATATATATGTATACGCATGTAAATTTTATTTTTTTTTTTTAAACTACTCTTCCATGATAGTCTTTTCCGTTACATTTCGATGTTTTACAATTTTCATTTCTATTTTATCAAATTGACTTTGTAAGTATTTTATAAACATTATGTTAAAAAGGTCATAAAAAAACTTAATACTGTAATGAAATTTTGAAAAGCCAATATAGAAGGAGATAGTTTTATGAATAATAAATATAATAATTCATTTCAATTAGATTGAAGTAACTTCATTTCATATAATCGTAAGATTTTATCTTAATAATAGTAATATCGCTTCCAAATACATTTTTAAAAATTTGTTGTTTATTATATTTAAAGCTAAGCCGTATAATAAATAAAAAACTATGGCGAATGCTTTTTGTATAGAATGAAAATGTCTTTTCAATTGACAATAATTTATAAAATATCCTTTTAATATTGCATAAAAAAAAACAATTATTTAATCTGATATATATATATATATATATATATATATATATATATATGTATGTATGTATTAAAGTCCTTAATTTCCTCATGCAAATGTATATATGAATGCTGATAATTTGTTTATTTGCATTTGTTTATTGAATAAAAATTATAATGATATGCATCTGTACATTACAAATAATATCTTCTTATTACCGTTTTAATTTGTTTTAATATGTTTTAATTAGTTTTAAAATTCTTAGACTAATTGCAATATCATGTATTAAATTATATGTTAGCTTTGATTCTATTTTAAATAAATTTTTTAGTATTATTCCAAATTAGCGAAATTTAATGAATTTCATAAATTATACGCAATATTAAAATTTTTTTATTTAAACTAAAATTAAGATCTATTCAAATTAATAATTTTTATATGACAAAGAATTGCTTATAAATATATAATTATTATGGATAATAAGTTTTAATATAATTTTTATTTATAACTTTAAGATTTTTTTTCTAATAATTTCTAATGGAATTTGTCTAGAAGCATAATTTTTCCATGCATAACAATATTAGTTTACAGCATAATTACTTTATGATTATAATAATTTTGGTAATTTTTATACAATGGTAATGCTAAAGTTAAATATATATTATAAAATGACACTTTAAACACTCAATGAAGTAATTATCTGTGATTATGAAACAATAAGTATCAAAGTTGAAAAATAAATTCAATTTTTAAAACGCATCTACCCTCTTTCAATGTAGTATTCACATCAATAGAGATAGATAATACATTCAAATTTCACCATTTGTAACTAATATTTAATTCTAACTAATATTATTAATAACTAATATTAAGTAATATTATTTGCAATAATAATATAAAAAATTGAAATGTATTACTATTATTTCCAATATTTATAAATTTGAGTAATTTCAATAAATGATATGATAATATTCATAAGATCACTTGGATTTGTTTAAGAAATATATTGTTGCCATTTGACTAAAGAATATTTCCATTTTTAAAATTGTAACTGAAGAAAAATTAAAATGACTTATAACCGTGGTTTATTTAATTAATTATAGTATTCGCTTTTCTCATCTATATATGATTATAAGTTCTTGTAATATATAAAAATTATATTAGCACTTTATCATTGCATTATTAAAGATAACTAACGTATAAGTAAATATTTATTTTATTGGCGCAATAAATGTTATTATTAAAAGAGTAGTCTATAACAGCAGTAATATAAGTTATTTGGTCTAGTTCTAAGTATGTATGCATTTTTTCATGAAATTATTCCTCCACCTAATGTCGATTCGGCAATATTGTAAATGATAAGTAACGAAAGTCCTGATTATCTATAAAATTAATGTATATGTTTATTCAACATTGTTTATTCGAAAAAATTGTCTATCATGCAGTTCACCCATGAAATATTTACATTTATGAAACTTTAATCTTCCGATGACACTACCAAAATTTATTGAAATTCTCAATAATTCTGTCAATAAGCACATTCGCGGAGAGGATAGCATAATTTGTGCCACTCACGAATATTTTGTATTTGCTCTACATAGCATAATTACATCTTTAAATATTTATACGCAGGAACAGTTCATTCTTTCATTGCAACTCTTTCGCCTACAAAAAATAAAGCATGATTTCATGATTTAAAAATAGCTTTAATATATTTCCTTCTTGGTACTTTCTGCTTTTTATTTAAGGGTCGAGAGGTTTGGAAAGTATTGCAAATTTTTTAATCGCAACACAGGAGACCACATTGCAATTCAGTTTACTCATTAATGTGAAATAAAGTAAGTACTTTACTATGATTTCGTAAAGAAATGCCTACATTACTGGATAATATTAAATTTAAAGTATTTGGTTCAGTTATAGCTTTAGTACAACAAAATAATAATATAATGGTATGCTGCATCGTTAATATTATTTTTTTTGAACGATGTAAATTACAATGCGATTAAGTATAATTAATATAATATCATTTATATTATTTAATTATTACAACCATATAGAAATATAAAAAATGTTATTCCATCTCTTCAAAACTAACAATATAAGTACGCGCCATCTATCAGATTTCGGAAAGTACTACTCTATGGTAAAAAACAAAATATAAAATAAGGTCTATATAAGGTTGCATATAACTTTGCAATCGCTGCACACTAAAGTTTATTGATTTCCTTTATTATTGTTTTCTTAGGCATACGGCTGCGAATGGATAATATTATGAAATTATGTCCCCTCGATTATATGTTCAATTAATATAATTTGTAAATGAGAGCCACTGTCGTAGGGAATCTAATACACATCACACTCATAACATATTCAAGCATTTTGATGCCATTTTTCAAAGCATTAATTTACAAAATGGTCTAGTTTAATTTTTTTCTAACACACATTATTATATAATTTATTTTTAGTTTACTTACAATACAATATACATGAAAATTATGCTACTTCCGTGGATGTCATATGTTAAAATATCATATGTTGAAGTAGTCGTATAATAAATTATTTTAGGGTTACACTGTAAGTAGTTTATAATTAATTTTATTTATTAGATTGAACTTGATTAGATGAAATGAAATTATCAGGATAAAATTTTGTTTAAATATTTTTGCGAATTTTACTTTTTATTAAATTTTTATGAAAACGTTAACCGACTATAATAATACAATGTTTTTATCTATAAAATGTTACAATTGTTATTTTTAATTATCAAATAAAATATAATAACAAATTATCCGCATTATATAAACATCGATTTATTTACATTTATTTATCCTATACAGATGATTATATTTATAGAAATTAAATTTAAATAAGTTAATTATGCTAAAGAGATTTTTTTAGAAGTAAATATAATTGATAGTTTGAAGAAATTTGCGTTAATTACAATATTATAATTGTTTATTCAATGAACTTTGTCAAATGAACACATATGTATGTATACTTATGTTTATAGGAATAATAGACAGAAGTAAAATTCTGTAATATTATGAAGAAGAAATTTTAGTTAAATTGGAATTATCTTTTGCAGTGTAAACTTCATTTATTCCTTCAACTGTAAATGTGAGTCTTTGAAATATTATTAAAATACTATATAATGATTCAAATATAGTATTAACATTTATTTTAATTAGTATTAGAAATGAAGAAAAACTAAATGAAACTATATTATTAAATTGATATAAATGGTCTATAAAAATTTGAACAATCTCGAATAAAAAGTAGAATTAACAGTAACTATATTACAATTATGGCAGCAAAGGTTCAACATTATGATCCACCAAGCTCTGCAAGCTCTGAAAGCGATGACTATGAACAATGCTTAGAAAATCGTGGAATATTTTTATCTGATGAACAGATTGAAGAACATATTAGAGATATGGGTACACCAACACCATCATCTGTATCATCTAGACCATCGTCTACTGGACTTCAAAAATCACCATATATGCGTAGAGAACGAACAACAAGTTGTTCTCAATCTAATAAAAAAACTGCAGCAGAATCGATACTTCAGAGCAAAACTAGAACTATATACACAGCAGGAAGGCCACCCTGGTATGATTCAACTGGACAACAAGTGGAACCTTTTATAATAGGTATTTGTGGTGGTAGTGCATCCGGTAAAACTACTGTTGCCACAAAAATTATAGAATCACTTGATGTACCATGGGTGACATTACTTAGTATGGATTCATTTTATAAAGTTTTAAATGAAAAGCAACATGAAATGGCAGCTCAAAATGAATACAATTTTGATCATCCTGATGCTTTTGACTTTCAGTTACTCAAAAGTACATTGCAACGACTTAAAGAAGGACGAAAAGTTGAAGTACCTATATACAATTTTGTAACACATAGCAGGGAAACTAGAACAAAAATGATGTACGGTGCCAATGTAATTATCTTTGAAGGAATATTAACATTTTATAATGCAGAAATATTAAAAATGTGTGATATGAAAGTCTTTGTTGATACCGATGCAGATGTAAGACTGGCACGACGTTTAAAAAGAGACATTTCCCAAAGAGGCAGAGATTTGGAAGGTGTATTAAAACAGTATAGCACTATGGTAAAACCGGCCTTTTATTATTATATTGCACCTTCGATGGTCCATGCAGACATAATTGTTCCCAGAGGCGGTGAAAATGCAGTTGCCATTGAATTAATAGTACAGCATGTTCATACTCAACTTCAACTAAGAGGGTTTAAATTGAGAGAGAAACTTGCTCATTTATACATTGGGCAACCACTTCCTAATTCATTATACTTACTTCCTGATACACCGCAAATAAAGGGTTTACACACTTTCATAAGGAATAAAAATACTCATAGAGATGAATTTATTTTTTATTCGAAACGTTTAATACGTTTAGTTATAGAATATGCTTTATCGCTATTACCTTTCAAAGAAATCACTATTGAAACTCCACAAGGATTTTTATACAAAGGAAAAAGAAGTGCCACAGATAAAATATGTGGAGTTTCAATTTTAAGAGCTGGTGAAACTATGGAACAAGCTGTAAGGGATGTATGCAAAGATATAAGAATAGGAAAAATTTTAATACAAACAAATTTACAAACTGGTGAACCGGAATTGTATTATCTTCGCTTACCGAAAGATATTAAAGACTATAGAGTTATTTTAATGGATGTTACAGTAGCAACTGGTGCTGCATCTATGATGGCTATAAGAGTACTTCTTGATCATGATGTTATAGAGGACAACATTATGCTTGTATCTTTACTTATGGCTGAGTCAGGAGTACATTCAATAGCTTATGCTTTTCCAAATCTAAAAATAGTGACTTCTGCACTCGATCCAGAAATAAATGAAAAGTTCTATGTATTACCGGGGATCGGTAATTTTGGAGATAGATACTTTGGAACTGAGCCATCTTCAATTAGTGATTAGTGGTTAAATGCTAATTAACAATATCTGTTATTGGTAAAAATATACACTAATATCTTGATTTTCAATGAAGACTGTGATCATTTCAATTTGATTAATTACTTGATTGTTGTAAATAAATTTTATAAAAATTTTAAAATTGTTATTTCTTTAGAGTATATTGTGCAGAAATACTGTTAAATCAATTTCAATTTTGCATTAAATTCAAGAGTCATTAAATAATATTACAATAAATGGGATGACACTATCGTTTAAATTTATTTATGTTGTAATGATAATGAAAGTGAATGCAAATAATAAATAAATGTATACATTAATAAAATATTTATAATTTTTACAATAATTTACTTTCTTATTATTTTTTGTGATCTTAGAAATATTATTTAATAAATACTTTATATAATTTAATCATTTGAATTTACACGATTATAAAACAGAACAACTAGTATTCTGCTTTTATAAATCGCAATAAAATTATGAACAATTAAATATATCATTATCAAATACAACATAAAACAGTTGAAGCGTTTAACAATGTTTAAAAATGTCTCAATTAGCGGTGATATAGCTTACAAAAAATTAAAACGTAAGGTTTTTATATATTCTTTGAATATTTGAATAACACAATTACATATTTTCGTTATGTTAATATTAAAAACATTTTTTATAAAAATTTATAATTCACTTGAATTAACTATTCTATTTAAATTAATAAGATTCTTCACGACATCATAATTATTAAGATTATTAAAAAATTCATGTAAAAAATCTCCCAGCGTCTTAATTCATATTATCCAATAGTACTGTTTGCATTATGTGTAAAAGAAAAATTTTATTGCAGCATAATATATTACACCGAGATAAAACTCTATAGTTAATCTTAAAGTATAAAACTACATAAAGATAAAGATCTACATAAAGTAAATCATAAAAAAATTGAGGATTTTCTAAATTAGTTATTGTATAGTAAAATTAAAAATTTGCGATTTTATATTTTAAAACCTTGAATTCTGAATTATACATTACTTAAGTTATATATATATATATATATATAACTATATATATATATATATATAGATGAACAGGTATTTATAGACAAAATTATTGATATTGTGTGTTGCTGAATCTTAAGGGAATTGAGACATTTTTATCATAATCACTCTTATAATAAAATTTTCATATTTGTACATTTCGCATTGTATATAAATTTATATGATATACGTATAGTAATATAACCAGAAAAACAATATAAAAAGATAAAGAGGTTGGAAAAGATATTTCTAAATATACATATAATTATTATAATTAAAAAATAAAAGTAATCTTTTGGATAAATAGAAATATGATTATTTTTCGTCGTAAAGAACCCGATTCCATTTATGGAAATTAATAATATTGCTAGTGGCATAAGGTGCGAATTTAGAATAGATGTCTAATAGATTATTTTGAAAGTCTAAATCTAAAAATCTATAAGATAGTGGCCAAGAAATAATTAAACCATAAATTATATTTAAATTAACTTGACTGATTATTATTCTTTTAGTAGATAAAACAGAAATTAAAGTATAAATCTTGCTAATTATTTTTGTCTTGCAAATTTATGATTACCAATTTGTTTCTTTTAGTTTTTAAATCTATGAAATATTAAATTTTAAAATTTATGTTATAAGATATTTTCATAAAAGTTTGCTATAGAAATATTTAATATATTGTAATATATAATATAACAAAATGTTATTAAAGAAAATGTTTAAAACGAATAAAGTTGTTTTGTAGGAAATTAACGATTAAAAAGTTTATTTTGATATCCATTGTTGAAAATAATAGATTTAGTTAAATTTATTTTCAACTTACTTTTACTACAAATTCTATATATTATTCATAACATAATGCATAAATGTCAGAAATTTTAATTTTTCGTTTATCCAATAGAATCAATTTATTATTCTAATCAGTCTTATGAATAATTTACATTTTTTTTTAATTACATCTGATTACTTAAGCTCATAAACTAGAATATTTTATAATTACCTGAAAATTGATATTGTCCACAATGATATTTGTAAGAGTAATTAATAACGAAATGTGACTTTAAAAATTAATAATTAAGTTTTCAATGAAATATCAATTTATTAAAGAAAATTCGTAAAATAAGTTATGCCATATAAACATTTTAAATCTTTTTAGTATTAGAACACTGCCATTGCAATTTTAATTAATCATATTAATTGACACAAAAAAAACGAAAAAATAAATAAATATCTTAAAGAAAAAGTCACGATTGAATGATTGAGTCTGTTTCAAAATTAAAATTGGAACATTTTGTTATGAAATTGTAAATTCCAGCTTATGTCCATAAGAATAATCAAATGATCTTAGATTGATTAATAAGAAGGTATTACAGTATGTTAAATAAAAATTTGTTTAAATAACTTTAATCATTACTAAAATATCGACTAACAATTCTGTAATTGTGTAAAATAATAATTTTATTCATATTTAAATATTTGTAGTGAAATTGATTCTGAAATATTCAATTTCGTACAGTTTTACATTAATTCAATAATTATTAATAATCAATCGCTCATAATGTCGCGTATAATTTTTTGATTAATAAATAAATAAAAAATATATGACATATTGAATAGAATTAATTTTTAAATAGATTGACTTCAAATAATTAGTAATTTATATAACATCCTATAGTGCCGTGTTATACATATATATTAAATTTAGTTTTGAATTTTTAAGGAAACACATTATGATCGTACTACATATATAAATAGACGAATTAAAATTAATTCATGATTTAAATTAATTAATGCATAATCTTTAGATATTTGGTCTCTCCCATATATTACAATTGTTATTATTGATGGATTTAATATTTGCTGTGATTTGCTATTTTTGAGATATTTTTTTAAATACCGCATAGTCCTTATGAAACTCGGAAGAGTCCTCACTTCTTCATAATTTATTTATAAATAAATTTTAGAGTTATTTTAAAAAAATAGTACTATCTTATAATTTAATATTATATTATTATTAAGTTATCGTGCGTTTATACGTTATAATTTAATTAATGGAATATAATACATATATTACGTAGAATTTAATCAATAATCAATTATGTAGTTCACGGAAATATATCTTAAATGTATCGATATCTTAAAAACAATAGTGGATTTTCAATATTAAGAGCAATAATTTTTATATTGCAAGTATTAATATTTAAATAAAATTCGGATAAAAGCAACGTCTAGTAAATATTGCAATTACATTATTTAATTTAATGATTGAATAAATAGCAAAAATAACAAAAATTATAGGGGGATGATAATACATTGATATGAAAAATCATAGAGAATTAAAAACATTAAATATTCGACAATAATTTTTACTGAATTTTTTCTTTTATCAGAAATTAATAAAAAATTTTAAAAAAAAAAAAAAAAAAAAAAAAAAAAAATCAAGAATTTTTTGCGTTCTAATGGGGATAAAATACTCTTTGGAACGTATTAAATTACATTTTCGTGTTATTAATATATTTGCTTCCGTAATAAAAATATTATAGACGTCTAACATAAAAGCCTGAACAGCATACTTAAAGTTGTTAATTACACTCTTTACATTGGATAGAGAATGGAAATAAATTTTTATTCATATTAGAAGAGTTAAGACTGTGTAAAGTATAAATTTGCTCCAGTACATAAAATTCTTACTACATAATATTTATGAAGGTTATTATGCGTACGGCGTACGTTGCACGTCCCATCAATATACAACAACGTGTATAATTACGTCGAGATTTGGCATAAAAGCCAGTCAATAATAATGGAATTAGCAACAATCAAGGATAACAATAAGGAGTAATAAAAGGAAAGACGATGTAAATGAAGCGAGAAGACGTGCACAAAGAACGCAGGTATGAAGCTGTAAATTGAAAAGCTGTCCCCCGGAAAGGTAAATAGTTTCACGCAAGATGGCGCTATCTGAGCGTTGATGGTCGGCGATGATGCTGTTGCTTAGCCGTTGCATTTTTCGGCGGTTCCCAAGGTCGAGAAGTGCTGGTATCGTGCAGCTTGTGCGCGCAAGATCTCGACGAGCTCCGGCTACGCGCATGGATGATCTTCAAGAATTTTATCCCGCAGTAGCAGCAGCAGCAGCAGCAGCAGTAACAGCAGCAGCAGTAGCTGCAACCTGCGGTTCTAGGGGAACGTTGCTCGACTGTTCAGCCCGTACTAGGTTAGGGGCGGGGATCTGTCAGCCCCTACCGTGCCAATTTCAACAGGAGTCGAGGTCGTTGGAGCGATGGGCAATCATGTGGTGCGAAGCGCTGGGACAACGAAGAAGGCTACCGGCCCCAAGAGTGGAAGCAGCGTTGCCCAAACCAAACCCCCCATATCCAGAAGTTCCTCTGGCGCCGATATACAAAACACCTCCCACACTCAATTCTTGCCCATCGACAGGCTCGCCAAGGTAATTTGGTTTCACGCTTTAACACAACCCCCTGTATAATTATCTTTTTTTTTATTATCCACAACTTGTCCTCGTTCCCCCCCCCCTTTTTTTGTTCTCGATTAAACCAGGCTCGTGATCGTGATCGTGATCGTGATTTTATCGTTATCGTTATCGTGATTTCATTCGTAATCGCTGTTGTAGTCATGCTTACGATTTTACTCCTTGCAAGTTTTTGTACAATGAATTTATTATTTTTTAAGTATATACCACATGAGTTTTTAAAAATTCCAAGAAGATTAAGTTTATTTTGATAAATTAATGCTTCATCCGATATAATTTAAGATTCTAGTGAAATAAATTTTCATTATAAATTTTACAGAGCAAGAGACAAAGAAAATCAACAAAATTTCATGCGCATCAATTTTTTTCATCATATGCATGCTTATATATTCCTATATTCTTATATGTGTATATATAATAAATATAACTTTATTATTGCAGATTCTTACAGAAATTTCTCAAAAAGAAGAAGCTGTTAATGGCATAACGCAATTTGTTTTTCAAAAATATCTATTTCCACACCATCCCGAACTTGCTGATAGATTATTTTCACATTTACATGCTTCTTCAAAAGTTACAACAACTTACTTGGGACAATCTGTGTTCAAACATCAAGCTGAAAAATTTCTTGCCATTATGAATGATCAAACAGTTTTAGAAAATTATGTTAAAATGTTTTCAGAAAATAAGGAAGAAAGTGAAATTACTCCCGATGGCTTAAGAAAGTTACTAATGGTGTCATATAGATTAGCCATGAGTGGCAATAGGGGTGTTTCTTGCACGCAAATACTTAATACAGTTTCCGCTGTTGTTAATGCTTGTGTTAGTATAATAAGAAGCAAAAATGAAATACAAAAAATATTATGAATAAATTGCGTATTATATATTGATTTTTAACATTTTAGTTTCATGGTAAAGATACTTTATCAGTCAGTTTTGTTAGTAATTGGCTGTGGCAAAATTGTCAGCGTATTGTACATGGAATGCACAAATATGTCATACATATTTTAACAACGGCATACCGTAGTGGAAAAAGTTTAATGTCTAGTGAGCAATCTGGACCTCATTTGGTACCTTCCACACCTGTTTTGGATCAACCAGATAATGCTACTTTTTCAGAAACACTATTATCTATTAGTCATGTGTGGTTATTAGCTGCTACTTTGCCATACTGTTATACAAAGGTAATTTTATAAAATTTCATTAACCATTATTTGTTTATTAATTATTATAACTTATAATTTCTGTTCACTTTATAAACATTAACGTTATTAGCATAGCCAACAGTTGTATATACATAGTAGAATTGTCAAAATTCACTGTATTGAAAATGTTGTTTCTAAACTTATTAAACTTGTATAAACAATTTGTGTAAAGTATAAGAAGTCATAAAGCTCTATTAGATCGATTTACAACTTGATACATAGTGATCCACGGACAAAGAATCTATTGAATTTTTGGGTTCGTTATATAGATTTAACTGCGCGCTGTATTAACTCCTAGTGTTTCCGTTTTCGTAAGAAAATTGTAATTTGAAGTTACGATTTCATTGTGTTTAACAAATGAAATAACATGGAATTAAAATATAATAAATTAAAATAACATGGAAGAAGTGTAATATTGCTATTGATACATTGCGGTAACACATGAATGTGATAACATGAATTTGTTATATATCAAGACAACTTGAATAAACTTTTGAAAGTATTTTGAAGATGAAATTATATTAGTTTAAAGTAACTCATGGCTTTAGTATCTAGTATCTCTGATCTTTTCAGAGCTTTTTTTCCTGTACCATCGGAACTTTAAACATAAATGTTATCAAGTATTTTCAGACGGAAAGGATAAATATCGTAAATAGCTTATTGAGATTGAGCAACCATCCCCATTCTGTCTCCCCCTCCCCTGTCCCTCTGTCCTTCACTTACTCGGTTATCATTGAATTATTCGCATTTGGTTTCCCAGACTGAAGAGGATCCACACAAAGATGGGATTCAGGCGCTGATAACGAAAATGTCGGGAACGGTATGCTTACGTCACTGGACGCCGCTGTATAACAGCGACCAGCATGGGGCTGCGGCCAACCGATTTCTGCACCATGTTCTCGGTTATAAAGGACCAACCCTTATTTTTATCCGAGGCGTAAACGATACAGAAGATCGCAACCATTATCCAACTTATTGTATTTGTTCGGCAGCAGAGTGGCGCGAATCTCATCTCTATTGGGGCAACGAAGACTCAATGGTGATAGAACTTCTACCTAATTACCGTGTCGTCCAGAAAGGTAGCAAACTTTTGTACTTAAACACGAGCATCCGAGGATACCCGCAAGGGTTGCGTGCTGGCGCCGATCCTCGGAGTCCCTGTGTGGCCATTGACCAATCTTTTCATGAAGTTAACTTCGCGGGTGTGCCTTACCGTATCTCTAGTCTTGAAGTCTGGGGCTGCGGCGACTCCAAATCAAGGTAACATTCAGAGCTTTTTTATATATTTGTAACTTAATTCGTGATATTATTGCAAATGATTATTCAAACATGTGCGATGAAGTTATATTTCAGCTACCCTTCCTTAAGATGATTTTTATACGCGATGTTTGAGTAAACTCCAACCGTCCATTCGATTAATGTAGCTGCCTCTTGTATTTTGGAATTGTCTTTTATATTAATAATGGTATCCCAATAGAGTATCTTATAAGTACTGAAAATTTTAAAATTTAAGAAAAAAATTATATACAATTATGTGAGAATACAATTTTAAGATAAAATTTCCATATGTAATCTTTTAAATAGAATAACAAGTTAATTCATATGCAGAAAAGAAAGAATTATTAGTAAGCAACAAAATAAATTACATCAATGTCAGAAAAACGCTTACATTGTTCTTCCGCTTTTACTATTATTTACTTTTACTTTAATCAATTGCAAAGACAACGTTATTAAATATACTGCTTGAATTATTTTTCCTAATACTTTTACATAAAATTATTAATCAAAATTAAATATATTGTAGAGTTATGTTATGGATGCCGGTGAAATAAAATTGTATTAGAACAATCACATTTATTTATTCGATATATAAATATAATTTAATATTAAAGATTTAAAAAATGTATCCAAGCAATGAAGTAGAAACTTAATTTGATTAGAAATGTTTTTGTGTTGTAGAGAAAGACAATTAGAAATAAAGAAATGGCAAGTGAAGGAGGCTGAAAAGCAGAGAGTTGTTAAATTAAGTACATCCGAATGGTTGGATCATCCAGATAGATATTTATTGGAATTAGCAGGAAGGCCTTCTTATAATAATTCCAGTAGTTAAAGCAAATCGGAAATTTTGTTGGAATCTGTATATATGTATATAATGGAACGAACTTTATGGTTAAATATCAAAATTGAATTACAATGTTTGCATTTTGATTATTCTCTTCCAAGTGCCAGAATTTATTTATTTATGCGGTTTTCATTTAAAAATAGATAACTTAAAGATATTAAAAATACATTGAAAGTTAAAATAAATGTAATGCCCCTGTGTGTGCATGTGCTTTTTAAACGCCTTTTATGGAAGGTATAAATAAAAAATTAATTGCTTACGAAGTCTATTCAAATGATACAAATAGAATATATTATAATACGATTACATCAATAAATCCAATAAATCACAGATTGACATTAATAATGTAAACAAATGAATATTTTTGTGAAATTAAATGCAGTTACCAATTTTATAAATGTTTTGTTTATTTTTCATTGCATTTATATTTAACTTTTTAAATGTATTATTTAATACGCACCTTAAAGAGATAAATAAAAAATATTTTTGTTTTAATGTAAATTATATTATAAATATATAAAAAAAAATTTCCTCAATGTTCTTGTGTAAAAAATTTATGAATAATAAGAATTTTATTATGTGATAAAATATTTGTGAAAATATAGAGGCACTTACCCTTCAAAAAATTTGAAAATACGGAAGTAAAGTAAAATATTATTTAATAAAAGTAAAGGAGAAAATTATTTGCATTATTAATATATATCTAAAACAATACACAATCTTAAATTTTTATTTTATAATTATTTTATACTATTTTCTTGTACGTATGGATCAAGATATTTATTATTTGTGCAAAATATACAGATATTAAATTATCATTTAACATACGTAATTTATTTATACATTTATGTATTAATTTATACTAGATCAATATATACCTAGTTTATTTTTTAAAAAGTGCGCATATTTTTCTCATTTTTTGTATTTGATATAAAAACTATAATTGCTTCGCAGAAATTTTCTTTAATCACAAATAATTAGATTCTCAATGTTTATTTTAGAATAATTATTTAATGGAATCTAATTATATTTAATTATAAAATAGTTAATGAAAATGTTTACACTTTATAACACAGGCACTGATGTCTCTTAAATAAAAAAGTTATTCACCAAAAATACGATTACGCAGATAATGGGATACTGCGTTGTCATAAAATTTTTAAATATGAAATATTTGTACACAATTACGGAATTATATTTAATATTATTATACTTATATTATACAGAACAATATTTGAAGGACTGATAAAATTTGCTGCTATATATTTCGACCTTCGTTTCTCATTAACTTTTACATTATGTGAAATGTCACATTTTTTCAAACCTTCTTACTTTAATGCATACGCTTGTAGGTTATAATAAAGTTTATAGCCTAAAATTACAGGTGAGAATTTAAGGCCTTTAACTTTTGATTTTTCATATTTTCCTACATGTTAAAAAAAATTAATATAATTTAATAATAACAACCATCGTAATTTAATTTTTTAGTTTGACTAAAGATTTGAAAAAACTTGGTGATGGTAAATCTCTTATTTAAATATGTAAAATACAATCTATATAATTAGTACTAGCATTCAGAAATATTAAAATTACTCTGTATAAACATTTTAATGAACAATCGATATCAACAGGTCAACATAACAAAGCGATATTAAATTAATATAAACAAAATTATGCTGCTTTTAATTGAAATACAAAATTTCAATTAAATAAGTGTACTACCTATTCAAAAAAATAACAAAAAGCTTAATTTTTATTCTTGCTGTAAATTCTTTTTTACTTTTTCCTCTATTAAAATGTCAATTTGACGAAAGCAAAAGAATACAATGGGATCATTAGTTTCATCATTAAAATACGCACATTATCTAATCGCTGTGTGATGCATCGGCAAAGTGCTAAATAGCAAAAAAATATCTCACGAATTTAAATGTGTTTAAACCAAGGTATCTTCATATACCTTTCACGAGGGCTCAAATAAAATGAATCACAACACGAAATATATCTTTCGAAAAATATTACAAAAATTAGCAGCCTCCTCAAGAAGGCAGGCTCTTTCTGTCTATTTACAGTATAAAATGTATCACTTTAACATGGCTTAATATTAAATATAGATATTATAAGTTGTCGATGCATTGAAAAAGCGACACGTTTCTTAATAAATCGTACAGGCGCACTCTTAAAACCTATTATAACTACATGAAAATAATGAAAATAAAAGGTAATCAAAAGCACGAATTAATGATACTAGTTATTCTTGGATTACAGCTATCACTATCCGAAGAGGATTATCATTTGTACATAGAATACAATTTGTTGCTGGCGATTTGTTGCAGATCGTTGAATTGGAAGAATCAATGGGTTGGCTACTCGCCAGGTTTGATTTGATCGAGCTGCTGCTCCAACTGCAATCGATCAATGCAGTATCGATTGTATTGTCGATAAGGTGAGCGTGCCTGATCATTATCCGTTATCACACGTGTTTTGTGAGGGATCAAGTTTTCGTAACGACCCATCAGCCAATCTTGACAAAGCCTATGTTGGGCGTCAACAACGTTCTTAGTCACCCATTTGAAATGCCACTGTTGAAATTTCGCGTTCATGCTTTTGGATACGATTGAATGACACTGCAAATTAAAATACAAAGTCAGTGTAAATAGTTTCGTTTCATGATGAACAATGGACGATTGTAATGGTAGAATGAAAAAGGGAAAAAGGGTTGTCCTCATAAAGATTATCGCATAAGACTATGCGACTTAAGTTGTCGTGGGCGTACCTGCTTTGCTCGCGTAAAACAGCCTTTTTTATACAGAGTACTTTCTTGATTGACAACGTAGATAACACGATAGTTGTTCAAATTGAACGTACATTGCATTTCATCGGACGTAACAAGATCCGATCCATCCATCGCTTCGGCTCCTGCATCGTACGACTTTTTGTTGTCTGGACTAGAATAAAAATTTCATTTATTACATAAACGAGAATTAATTGATAGGGGAAACATCGTTTAAGCTGCATTTATTGCTTTTCATCAATCGAAGCAATAATGAGCAGCAATCTATTGGACCATACGTACTCAGCTATTTTTTCAGAATTCACTGCATCAGGTGAGAAGGCCCTCATCTTTTGGGCCGTGTGCTTGCGATATTGGCGAACATTTCGGTAAAGATATACTCGTTTTCGACCTGCCAAAATCTTGCTTAAAGAGCTCCATCCATTCCCATCAATCTATAACAATTATCATTCTTCGTCACTTAGTGCTTTCATTAATGACAGATAAGAAATAAAAAATATTCTTTTTTTATATAATTAATTAGAGAAATTTCTTGCTGTCTATTTTTCCACTTTTACGAAACATTTTGAACGTTAATTGCACACGCCGGCAATGCATTATATATATATATATATATATATATATATATATATATATATATACACATACATAAAGTGAATATGAAAGTGGGACAAGAAGCAACGTACATTCATTTCCAAATTTCTTAGAAATTATAAATTAATTCGTTTAAAATAAGGAAAAATAAGTGTGTTGAAATCAGTGTGGATATATCGCCAATGAGCTTACTGTGTCATATATTACGAAGTAGAATGAGCCGAAGAAAAATGAAAACAAAAAGCATCGTTGCAGCCGTATCGAGTGCTAGTCAACTCGTGAAAAAATTGGCCTTGCAGCTCGATAAAACAACATTGCATAATGAGATTTACAAGAAATAAAACGAATCGAAAAAGGCGATTAATGATGACAAGAATATTCCCAGTAATTAGATAAAATATATATTTATATATATGTTAATTATGTTTTTTTTATTCTTAGTCCACAGTTCATTACCAAAGTTTAAGCGTCGATTAAGGTCTTTGCAGAGTGATCGGTATGTCCATAGGAAGATTATAAGGGATGCAATGGAAGTTCCATGATGGGACGGGAATTTGATGATCTTCGTAAATGAAAATTCGCGAACCAAGTCTCTTGCGAATGTTAACTTCTTCTACAAGTCTCGTCCGACTCTAATGCATAAAATAATGCGTTAGGAATAGGATCGTGTATTTTACTTTTTCTTATTAATTATGATCGCAAGCATACTATATGAAATAGTTAGGAAAAGGGAAAATGTTTTTACATTATTTTTTTTAATGCATGTAGTACGTTCTTACGTGCCATGTAGATTTTATTAAATCAATTATTTCAATTATTGTGAACTTTGCGCTTTAACGTAAACATTTTGAAAAACTGTCGAGTTTAAAATTACATTACGGCAATTATGGACATCAGATACTTAATAATTCATGAATTTAATAGCAATATCTATCATAGCAATTATTTTCTTGTTTCATATAATCAAGGAATGATTGCGCACACGCGAATGACCGATGTAATTATCACTTTGTATTGAATGATATGTACGAATAAATTATTTCAGGTATACTTTAAAAAGGTATAGAAATAAAATTAGACTTTTGAACTGGTTAAATAGTTCCAAGTTTATTCATTCTTTTTAACAATTTAAGGACTTAATTTATATTTTTAAAAGCGCAAAATTTAGCATTTATATATATATATATATATATATATATATATATATATATATATCTATATATATATATCGTAAAAAGTAACTTTAATATTTCAAGAATTCATAACAGAATATAGAAATGAAAAAATTTATCTGAACACTTTCAAGCTTAAACAGTTTTTAAAAACGCTTACATGAATGGACAGTAAAAAATTATAAGTTATTGCAACAAGTTCATAACAGTTGAAAAAGATGTATAAATAAAGAATAAAATCCTTTTTCCCCTTTTCGAATTCTTGAGCTTTTCATCCTATATGCCATGAAAAATAGCAACAAACTCGCTTATTTGACCGACAATAAACACGCATTCTGAGCAGCAAAGAGGAAACGAACTATCGAAAAATAAATTAATAATAAAAAAGAAGAAAAATCAATTAAAAAACGGATGAATAATAATAATAATAATAATAATAATACCAGTAATAATAATGATAATATAATAATAAAAATAATAACAATATTAATAATAACAATATCGATAACAGTAGTATAAAAAAGAAACTAAGAAAGAAATCTTCATCTTTTTTCAATTATTCAGTGGTACAAAAATGATGTTAGACAATAATGTTTAAAAGCATCGTTCATATATTTCAATATCTCTCTTCTATACAATATTGTTGCCATTTATATCATTATATGCATATTCATTTCATATACAAGTTAAAGATACAAAATATATTTATATTTATAATCTACACACATATACACACACACACACATATATATATATATATATATATATATATGCATATATACACATATATACATATATATGCATATATATATATATATAT